GTGTCAGTAATTTACTTGACTCGATGATACGTATAGAGAGTCTCTCGCTCATGTGTCAGTAATTTACTTGACTCGAGTATGAAGCTATCTGCGGTGTTAGTTTCCATGACACTAATGTTATATTCTAATCACCTCAATACTAAATCTATGTTCTAACGTAAACTTGAGTGGTTTGTCTGTTGCCGTGGTTAAATCTAGCAAAATAAACTCGCTGAAGAGTTCTCACATGTTATCAAATATTTCTACCTCTCTCTCTCTGTTATAAATGTGCAACTTTAACGACATTGGCTTCTCCAGAAATAGACATAAGACATTATCTCTATATAATATCGAGTAAGAAATCCCGAATTTTAAATTATTTTTCAGTTTGAACTTACCTATAACTTTTAAAGTAATGACGGTGTTAACAGTCCTGGCCTTATGGAAGTCTACTCGACACCTGTATTCTCCAGCGTCCTCTTCCTTCACTGGATCCAGCTGTAAGAAAGCAGGTCTGTTGATCATGTTAAAATAAGCTCGGTTCTCCAGCTGAGGACCGGAGGACTGGCGGGCTTGGTCCGCGTTACCCTGGCGGGAGTCCAAGGTGTAAATAGGCTGAGCAGAATCATCTTTATACCAGAGGATCAGAGCTGCGGAGTCATCAGTGGAGGGGGAGGAGATATCACATGGAAGAGCCACTTTACCACGTACAACTGCTGTGTAAAGGATGGAAGCTACAATGAAAGACAGAATGTTTTAAAACACAGTTTAATGAGCACATAATCTAGCCTAGATATGTCATAAACATACTTTGTCAATCACGAATCCATCTATCTGTGGCATGACACCGTGTAGTGATAATAACACAACTATGTTATGGTATATCATACACGTAGATCTGTACTAATAACATGATAGCATGTAGTGATAATAATACAAATATGTTAGGGTACGTCATACAAATACTTCTGTACCAATAACATGATAGCGTGTAGTGATAATAATAATACAAATATGTTAGGGTACGTCATACACGCACTTCTGTATCAATAACATGATAGCGTGCAGTGATGATAATACAAATACGTTAGGGTATGTCATACACGCACTTCTGTATCAATAACATGATAGCGTGTAGTGATAATATGGTGTTCTCCCTTATTCAAGAAATCACAATTATTTACTTTAGGAGCTTAGTTATTTATTGTTGAAATACAGCTTACATTTGCTAAAATAAACAATTCAAAGAGTTCCATTAGTTTGACATTAAAGTTTCCGTATTGCAGTTGATGAGTTCCATTAGTTTGACATTAAAGTTTCCGTATTGCAGTTGATGAGTACTATTAGTTGGACGTTAAAATTTCCGTATTGCATTTGATGAGTTCTATTAGTTTGACTTTAAAGTTTCCGTATTGCATTTGATGAGTTCCATTAGTTTGACATTAAAGTTTCCGTATTGCATTTGATGAGTTTTATTAGTTTGACTTTAAAGTTTCCGTATTGCATTTGATGAGTTCTATTAGTTTGACGTTAAAGTTTCCGTATTGCATTTGATGAGTTCCATTAGTTTGACATTAAAGTTTCCGTATTGCAGTTGATGAGTTCTATTAGTTTGACATTAAAGTTTCCGTATTGCATTTGATGAATTCTATTAGTTTGACATTAAGGTTTCCGTATTGCATTTGATGAGTTCTATTAGTTTGACATTAACGTTTCCGTATTGCATTTGATGAGTTCCATTAGTTTGACATTAAAGTTTCCGTACTGCATTTGATGAGCTTTATTAGTTTGACATTAAAGTTTCCTTATTGCATTTGATGAGTTCTATTAGTTTGACGTTAAAGTTTCAGTATTGCATTTGATGAGTACTATTAGTTGGACGTTAAAATTTCCGTATTGCATTTGATGAGTTCTATTAGTTTGACTTTAAAGTTTCCGTATTGCATTTGATGAGCTTTATTAGTTTGACATTAAAGTTTCCTTATTCCATTTGATGAGTTCTATTAGTTTGACGTTAAAGTTTCAGTATTGCATTTGATGAGTTCTACTAGATTGACATTAAAGTTTCAGTATTGCAGTTGATGAGTTCTATTAGTTTGACATTAAACTTTCAGTATTGCAGTTGATGAGTTCTATTAGTTTGACATTAAAGTTTCCGTATTGCATTTGATGATTTCTTTTAGTTTGACATTAAAGTTTCCGTATTGCGTTTGATGAGTTCTACTAGTTTGACATTAAAGTTTCAGTATTGCATTTGATGAGTTATGTTAGTTTGACATTAAAGCTTCACTAATACATACGATATTATTGTGTAGTTTTATGTTATTTTTGACTAACACCTTGTGAGCGATTTATGGTTTTTATAATCATCTAATGGTAACAAATGTTGATTATATTTCATTAAACGTACATCTTAATATGCGCTAATGTGTTTGAAGTACATTAGCATTATAACAATCCGGGCTTTTACTGGCCCTATTCTTTTGATATTCTAAGTATTTTACATATTTCTCCACATATTTTACTTTCCTGGAGTTTCAAACTTTTCACAATGCATTATATATTTAAAGATCTATAGAGGACAAGAGAGCTTTTAAAAATATCATTAACTTCGTATTTAAATGAGCGATTATTCTTGTATGTATCAATGAACAATTTATGAAAATGAAATATTTAATGAAATATAAAGTCTTGTTTAAACTATGTAAAGGAACAAATGCTATGTGCATGTGTATGTAGAGAATCATTTCATTAACTGCAAACTTTAAATCAGTTGTAGAGTTTGAGAGAGGAATGAAAGAAAAGACCATAGAACCAGCATGATTTCCATTAATCAAACTGGCCAGGTGGTTAGGGAGCTCGACTCGCAATCTGCGGGTCGCGGGTTCGAATCCCCGTTCCACCAAACATGCTCGCCCTTTCATCCGTGGGGGCATTATAATGTGACGATCAATCCCACTATTCGTTTGTAAACGAGTAGCCCGAGAGTTGGCGGTGGGTGGTGATGACTAGCTGCCTTCCCATTAGTCTTACTGAATTAGGGACGGCTAGCGCAGATAACCCTCGTGTAGCTTTGCGCGAAATAAAAAAAAACAAACAAACAATTTAATCAAACCCTAACGATAACAACAGTTCGACCCTAAGTTGTGTTTCATGATACTTTTTTGTAAGCTCTTTATTATAATCCTTAAAAACATAATACTATATTTTCTCTTGTTATTTTGATATTTTAATAACAAATTCTATTGCGTTTTATTGGTGCTGCAACTGGTTTACACTCTCGAACACATTAATTAAATCGTTCCTGTCTTGATCAGCCTCACAAGTAATAGATCTGATATCTGCGTTAAAATATAACAGGGTACATCGTTTCAAGCTTAGGTTTATAGCTATGAACTAGGTTAAATAATTTGCTAATATCATTTGACTCGTGAAGCTTTGTGTTTAGTGTCAGATATAACACTTTAGTAACACTCTGCTAACGTGGCATCACGCCACTGAAAAACGACAGTAAAAGCAATAAAAATGACCAAATGGTTTTGTGGGTGCCTGGTTTCCGGAATAATTCGTTGATCTGTCAAAATACGCATCCTCGTTAGGATCGACTAAGCATGGAAAGAACATGCTTTGTTGATAAAACATCAGTTTTTTTATACTTTTTACAGTCCATGAGTTTAATTTGAAACTCAAAGATTAACTGCTTTTTATGAAACTGAACGCCGAGTCATTTCTCAACTGTTCGATCCATCGAACGTTTTCGTTCTTTACATGAATTTATTTATCGCGTGATTTCTTTTTCATAATGTTGACACCAACATACCAATTCGACTCCTCCTATTGGTCATCGCTTATTCTCAGACTGTATCACAAAAAAGTGGCGGAAAAATTATCTGTCTTCATATTAAAGTCGAACGAGAGAATAAAAAAAAACACGCAAATCGAAGCCCATTAAATTCTATGACAATACGAGCTATTGTCATCAAGCGCACGGACAACGAACGTCCGATTATGATTTGAAAAATGGTGGTATCTTCGAGGTCACCCGCAAACTTCGTGAAACTACGTGATTTAAATGACCTACCGCTTAAAGTTTTCAGAGACTGTTGGGATCATCATATAAGATTATGATTGATGAGGAATACTTACCTGTTAGGGTAAAATATTATCGTTAATATGCTCCCAAAGTTATATATGATACTAAACTTCAAAAAGTGAAGAAAGCATCTCACTGCCTTCAATCAGTTTACAGTCATGTCACTGAAATCGATTGTTGATACTCATTATTGTAACACAATTTCACCAAACTCCAAATTTTATTAGGACATTCAGACGTGTTTTTAACAGTTCCTTGTTTTTCTCTGTTTTTTGTTCTTTATTAACACTATTAATTTTGTGAATTTTACAGCGTTTATGTCTTGAGTTCTTATTATTTCAAACGTATTAAAGTTAGTTGTACTTTGTTGATTCATTTACTGAAGACATCAGTTTAGAAAATGTTTAATCATATATATATATTAATAGTTTGATTGTTTCTTGTTAAGGACGAAGCTACACGGGTATCGAAACCCGGTTTTAGTATCGTAAAACTGCAGACTTTCCGGTGAGTCACTTAGGAGTGTATTTTGAAAGAGCTGATCATTTATCTTAACGTGTAAACATTTTTAGCTACCCTATAATTTACAAAGACTCACTATAATTTACAAAGACTCGTTTTTTCATACTTGTGTTACCACAGCTGATAAAAGACGTGCACAGGAATTACCCTATAATTTACAAAGACTCGTTTTTTCATACTTGTGTTACCACAGCTGATAAAAGACGTGCAGGAATATTTCTATAATTTACAAATACTCGCTATAATTTACAAAGACTCGTTTTTTCATACTTGTGTTACCACAGCTGATAAAAGACGTGCAGGAATAACCCTATAATTTACAAAGACTCGTTTTTTCATACTTGTGTTAACCACAGCTGATAAAAGACGTGCAGGAATTACCCTATAATTTACAAAGACTCGTTTTTTTCATACTTGTGTTACCACAGCTGATAAAAGACGTGCAGGAATAACCCTATAATTTACAAAGACTCGTTTTTTTCATACTTGTGTTAACCACAGCTGATAAAAGACGTGCAGGAATAACCCTATAATTTACAAAGACTCGTTTTTTCATACTTGTGTTAACCACAGCTGATAAAAGACGTGCAGGAATATCCAATAGACAATTACTGATTAACTCTTCTAGTTACTCATTTTCAAGCGTTAATTATAATAATAAAATTAGTAACGAAACATGCACCACTTTCGTTTGTAATAATATAATATGCAACAAATAGAAACTTTATGAATTATGGTGCTCAAATTTGTTAAGTCTTGAAAACTTATAGAAACACATAACAAATGTGAACTAACGAGTAAAGTTCAGAGAATTCATTGTAGAAGTAAAAGCTACACTGATAATTCTGTTAATGCTGGTATACATGTGCCAAATTATCGAATTCTCTGATAATTTCTTTTAAAGGGTTTGATTTTTCATTTGTTGGTTGCATCACGACATAATCCATACTTAAGTGTCTTGGTTGACTTATCTTTATTTTTATATACACATAGCATATAAATTTGGCTTGTAGATGTAATAAATAATATAATAGTAAACTAGTTTAACTACGTGCCAACAGGGGGCAGAATTATATATCATCTAAATCTACTGTATCGAGACAGTTTTTACATGTCTTT